ACAAGCAGGAGTAATGTTGGCCTCGCCTGCCCTTGTCAGTACGATGGGGCTCCCCACAGTTTTCAGACCACAAGCTGGCAAATACACAGAGGGCATTGGCCTGGGCACCCATGGCATGTCCCTGCCACGCTCAACTGGGGGAGCACCACTGGGTTTGGGGCTGGCTCCAGCAGGGAGGGCTTGGAGGGGTCACCATCATATCTCCAGTGAGAGGAAGGGGCTCCGTGGCTCCTTCCAGGGGGAGAGGGAAAGGCTGAACCCCAGCTGTGCATGGTATTTATTTTCATGGCAGGCTGGAAGCACACTGGGGGCCCCTGGGACACCAAGATCAATACCCAGATTCCAGGCACAGCAGCAGCCAGGGAGCTTTGTGAATTAATTTTGCCTTTGTTTTCCTCTGTCAAGTCTTGATCTCGACTTAAGCACTGGCTGGCTGCAGGCTCTGCTGGAGACTGAAGTCAATTACCCAGATGCCTTTGATTGAATTGTGCCTGTCCAGCAGCCAGACACTCTGTGCTCCTGCCCCACAGCCCAGCACAGGGACAGAGCACAGCCTGGGACAGCTCCTCTGTTAAGCTGCAGACACTTGTTTGGGCTCAGGCGATCTGGCTGTCCCCGAAACATTCTTCCTTCATTCTCATTCAGAGTGCTTCAGCAGCCTTTTTTCCAAAGTCAAGACTGTTAATAAGAAAAAGCCCAGCGATGTGTAAATCAGAAAGCACAAAATGCTCCGTTGGAAAAGGCATTTCAGTAAAAAACAACCCTTTTGTTTCTGCGAGAGCTGCGGAGCTGCACAGCCCGGGGAGCCTGGAGCTGAGGCAGCTCTCCCCACACCTCCTGCACTGGGGAGCCTTGGTGAGCATGGTGGCCAGTCATCCACCCCTCTGTGCCCCATCAGGGCTGCTGGGCTTGTCCAGGTGCCAGGCAGGAGATGCTGACACTGTCCTTCCCGGGATACTGGGAGGTAGAAGAGGACTTTGTAGTGCTGCACTGGGGAGGGGAGGAGATGAATGCCTGAAGCCCAGTTCTGAGCTGGATCATAAGCACTGGCCACTCTCAAATGCTGGTCCCAGCACTGCCAGGCAGCAGGAGGGGGAAGCCCCTGGGAGATGCAGGGCCCCCTGAGCCCCACACAGTGCCCCCTGCACAAGCTGCACTTAGTGCATAAAAATCACAGGAGACACCTTTTGCCACCTCGCTGCCCCCAGCAAATCTACGAGCTTCAGAATCAATGTTCAAACACCAGCAAGTCCAGGGCGCAGGAGGAAGAATGAAGAAGCAACAGCCACAGCAGAGAGGAGACTGTGCCAGATGGGAATGACCACAAAATCCTGCAAAACACCCACACCACTCAGCGCAGCTGGGGGAGTGCTGTCCTGCCCCCAGCTGTGGGCTGTGAACTTTCTCAGCATTCCCAAGCAAACCTGCCTCGCTCCCTCCTGACTGTTGAGATGAAACTTGCTCCTGTCCTCCCAGCAGCTCTCACGGACCTTGCAGGGAACAAAAATTCTTCTTGGAACTGGTAGCATAGGCCTGGAGGCTTTTGTTCCTCTGCTCCTCTGTGAGGGGTCCTGTCAGCATTTGCCCCCTCCTTGCCACACTCGCAGTGGCAAAAAGCTAAAGAAGGCAAAGCAGAGGTACCAGCCCTGGGTTTGTATCCTAAATGTGCTGTTTTAAACAGAAACGGAAGCCCAGGCTGGAAAAGCTCCAAAACAAACGAATTAACTACCTAGTGAATAATTCATAAGACAAACACCATTTCTTTTTCTCCTAAAATAAATGCAAATGGTTTACCATCTCCTCAAGCCTGCTTGTTACCTGAAAATCTCCCCCAGCTCCTTCCTGGAGGGTGAGTCTGGGCTGTGGTCGAAGGCCAGTGGGGGATAAGGACTGGCTGGTTCAGTCAGGGTGTTCAGACCTCCCAGCTGATGGATGCTCCGTGACCTGACCCCTTTTTTTAACCTATCATTTTAACTGCCCTGAGAAACTCAAGATGGCCTTTCTGCACAAATCCCTGAACCATCACTGACCATCCCTGTTTCCACAGTAACCCAGCGAGCACCTCATATGGATTCAGGCTGGGAGCTGCCCCAGCACCAGCATCCCACGACGCAGCAGCACCAGGCACAACAGCCCAAGGGGACACCCCCTCCTCCACTGCCATCCATGGGGCTCCAACAGGCTTCCAAGGGTGATATGGATTTGACAGGTCCCCAGAGCAGTCAGGACACTACTTCGAGCACAACCCGCTAATGGTTTGCGACTCACGCCACAAACAGATTTATTTGCAATCCAGGGCTTTAGCCAGCGACACGTTCAGTGCAACAGAATAATTGTAGAAAGCAGATTAGCACTGTGAGGTAATGATCTTTTTGCCTGCTTTTCTCAGCTTGCCTCATCCATCGCTGTCCTGTGCAGGATTAGCATATGCCTCGTTTTGGAGCAGACATTCTGGCTTTAAATCCCAGCCCTTTGGATAAGGGCTAAATGAAGACAGATAACAGCAGCCTCTGTGCTGGCAGGGTGCTGCTGAGCCTGCTGAGATCCACAAATGGGGTGCTCCAGGCAGGCAGAGGGGCTTTGGGTGGCTGTAGGCAGCCGCCTGGAATTTCTCACGGAGATAAAGCCACTGTGCTTGTGGGAAGTATGTGAGCTGGCTTTTCTCCAGCCTTTGGGGTGCTGGACAGAGGGGACACAGGAGAAAATCTTCTCCTCCAGCAGGAAAGGGCTGGTAGTGGTTGATTGCTGTTGCAGAGCATGGCTGAGAGGAGCAGCACAGCAGGATCTGTGGACAAGCTGTGTGGGAATTGCCACCTAATTCACAGCAGATGGACTCCAGCATCACCTAAGCCTCCAGCACATCTGTCACTCCTGGGGACAGTCTGTGCTGGGGGGGGGACACTGTCCTCTCCCACGCCAGGGAGGGGACAGCAGCACCCCACCATGAGCCCAGTGGAGCACAGCCAGTGCCACACATCTTCCTGCACAGCTCTGGCAGATGTTGGAACAGCCACGGAGCAGGGACAGCCACGCTCCGAGCGCTCACAGGGAGCCACGGGCAGTCACGGGGTTGTGACCAGCCTATTATTAATGCATTAATATGGTGATTTTATACACACAAATCCGAGGGGTGCAGGCACCAGGAGGAACCAGCAGGGTTATTCATGGTGCAGAGGGTGTCCCTTGGTTATTCCTGCTCTATAAGCAGTAAGGAGGAGACCAACAGGCATCTGCACAGCCCAGGCAGCTGGAGGGGCTGGGCAAGGAGGGTTTCCACCTGCCCAGGCTGCAGTAGGGGAGGTTGAGGGTTTTGAAGGGTTGGGACAGCCACAGCAGGACACCAGGACTTAACTGGGCAACAACTGACCTCAGTGGGATGCAGAAGAGGGAATATTACAGATATTACAGTTGACCAAATACCCACTGAGTTATGAATGCAAAAAAATGAGGCTGTTGGAGGGGAGAACTGAAGCAGAGGGGATGAGGATTAATGTGGCTCTGGCAGAGGCTATTGGGGTGTTACTGAAGTTCAGCAGATCTACTGGACCAGGCACAGTGGCAGCAGGAAAACAGATGTGGAGGAATTAATGAGCCTGGTGGGAAAAAGTACTAAAATCCACCAGGACAGAAGGCAGCAGGAGAATCCTAAACAAATCCACCATGATTACATCTGCAAGACTACAACTGAAATGGTGCAAGGAAATGGCTGGGGAGAGGGCTGAAGCTTAAAGACCTGGCAGGAGATGAGGAAACACAGAGGCAGCAGCAAAGCAGCTCAGCTTCATCAGTATCAGGGGAAAAAGGGATGAATGCAGGGGCAGCAAAACTGACCCACAGCCAAAAGCTCAGAGGGCTTGTGCAGATACACCAGTGTGCTGCACAGCAGCACCTCTGTGCCCCACAGAGGTCCTGGCTCCACTGTGCCAAACAGCCCCTGCCAAGTACTGCTCCTGTCTAACTTAGCCCAAACTCAGTCCTACCTCTGTCCTGTTGAATTCAAGGTGGGAGGAGAGGAGAAGATGAGGTTTGGCATTTATCTGTAATATCTCTGCCTCTCAGCTGTCCTTCCCCATGAGACAGGGAGGCAGTGACACCAAGGATGCCCTGGAGCAGGCACAAGGTTATCTGCCTTTGAGTCTGCTGGGGACGTGTCCCAGATTGCTAAAAACCTGAGCAAAGGCCAATGGAAGATCTCCTTAGGATCTTGTAGCTGCTGGACTGGACACCAAAAAGCAAGTAAAGCTCTTGTATTGCTGACAGTTTTTCTGAAGGGTTTGGTACCCACGAGGGGTGAGGAGGGGTGGCAGGGCCTGACCATGGGGATTGACTATCAGAACCAGCACTGCACCACACAACAACTAGCAGGAGATGGAGGATGACAAGACACAGGGCTCGGGAGGGCATGTACACCAAGGAGTGGGCTCTGTGGGCTGAAGGGGAGGATAATGGGGGCAGTTGGCAAGATACCAGGGGAGAGCTTGCTGGACCAGGGACACAGTGATTTCTTTTCACACTCTGAGCCTGACACCCATGCCCCACATAATTTCCAGTTCACTCAGCAGTCCTGAAGGGCTCAACAAGTTCCACAAGTGCTGCTAATGCAGGAACCCCCCCAGTCCCCTCCAGTACCTGCACCCAGCCCAGGTATGGCCATGTACTGCTCCTCTCCAGCCCTGAGCTGTCCTGCCTCCAGAGGACCCTACTCAAACCATTGGGTAGGTGTTTGGGTCATGGCCAGAACACCCCCCCTGCACCATGGCAGTCAGCACCAGTCCCTGCCCGTGTGGCACAAGGAGTCAGATGGGCAGGGGAGGTGCCACAGACCACACATCCTGTGACCACAGTGTGAAAGGGGCTTTGGAGCCTCTAGAAATCCCCACGGAGATGCTCCAACATGCACCTGTGACCTGAATCCCCTCAAAGGCTGGCTCCAGACCCCCAGTCCCAGACTGTACACCAGCCCCTCTCCCCGGTGCCTGCCCCATGGCACCAGTGCCTACCTTGGCATCCAGGATGCTTGTCTCCACCCGGGCCACCCCCTGGTTCTCCCTGAACAGCTGGATCTTGCTGACCTTGCTGAACTCCGACAGCACCGTGGTGAGGTTGGTCTTCAGGTCGATGACGTGGCTGATGCCGTGTCGGGGTCCCACCAGAAGGGTGGTGGCTGGCTGCTTCTCATCCTGGGGGCACAGGCACATGGGGAAAGAGAGACAGACAGACAGGGGTGAGTAAACACACCCTGGGGCTGTACAGGCTGTGCCTGGCTCTCTCCATGGAGCCAAGCCTCAATGTTGGCACCTTGGTCACGTCCCGACAGCCTTTGCAGAGCATCAGGTGAAGCTGGTGCCATGAACCTTCCTCCCTGAGCCCCTCTGCAGAGCTGGGAACAGTGTGCAGGATGCCAGGGTTATTTAAAATAAGGCTCTGAACTGACTGTCCACATGAAATATTCAGGCTCGCTGGTGTCACTACAGAGAAGTAAGAGCGTGTTACAAATCTGCCTGATCTGACACTGCCTCTGAGAGAAGGAAGCAAAGGAGGGAGTGAATGTATTTTAGAGAAGAAGAAAGACCAAAGCCTTGGCTGGATATAGGGATCTTTCTTGCTCTGGTCTAGAAGGATGCTTCAAGCCAGATGTGGAGAGGAAGAGGAGCTGGGCAGAGCAATGCAGAAGAGAACAAAGGAATACTCTGTACTCCTTACACGTAGTTCCACTCATAGGCAGGCTGAGAGTCATTGCTTTGGTGTCAGAGATGGGAGAAAAAAGACAAAGCACCCACACCAGATGCTGCCAGGGCATGATCAAGTTACAAACACCTCTGAAACTACTCCAGCCTCACTGTGCAGGTCATCTCGTTGCCCAACAGGGGGGCAAGAACAGAACTGACCCTGACCCTGCAGAGCTGAAGATCCAACCTATTGACAGCAGAGGCTCTGAAGGCTTTACTGGGTGGGCTTGGACCTTGTCAGAGCAGAGCAAGAGACTGAGGGAAGTAATTTCTGTGGTAGCCACACCTCCCCTGTCTCTCCCCTCCAGCACACTCTCAGGACCACTGCCAGGCCCCTCCCAGCCCACCCTGAATTACCGTACCAGCCCCACGGTGTTGAAGAGGACCCCAGCAAAGGTCGGCAGCTCATTCAGGATCCTCAGGTACTGCAGCTTTGCCTGGGCTGTGGAGACCTGACAAAACACATCACAAAGATGATAACCATGAGCACAAGGGGAAAAAACGCAAGAGACTGGTGCAAACTTAGGGGGTCTCAGTAGGAATGGACAGCAAGTTGTCAGGCAGCTCCAGGCATGGGCTGTGCTGGCAGGAATCTGAGACATGGGGTTGGGGGGGTCTCCACTCCTCTGCCATCCTGAGCAGATGCTGGGAGTTAACTCAGAGCTGAGGCACAGCCAGGAAGGAGCCCCAATGCTTGATGTATAACCCACACCTCATGATGTATAACCCTCCTGGGGGATATATGCGCCCCATCCCCAGGGAGCTCTGAAGGCTGTAGGGCCCAAGGCAGTGGCTCAGCAACTGCCTCCAGAGCTTTCCAAGCCCAGAAGCAGAGATAACAATGAACTGATCTGTGCCCCTTCAGCCAAGCTGAGAGCTGGATCTCAGCTGATCTCACCCCTGAACTTCACTGCACTCCCTGAAATCCAGATCAGTGTTTGGAAGTGGATTCAGGAGAGAGAGTGTCTGTCTGGCTGTCTCCCTAGGATTTATCTCACATCCAAGGGGACTTAACAACGGGAACCCCTGAGCAGCTGGGGACAACAGGCTGGGGTGGAGGGCAGGCTGACACCCCACCAGCCCTGAACCAGGGCAGCTTGTGCTGGGCTCACCTTGGTGCCGCCAGGCTGGTGCTGGTGGGCTTTGAGCTGCTGCGAGAGGGATTTCCGGAGGCTCTTCTCTTTGATGAGCTGCAGGAGCGAGGGGGGCAGGAAGGGCTCCAGGCCCCACTCCTTCCTGTGGGGAGGGAAGCCTGCATGAGTTGCGAAGCCAGAGACCCTTGCTGATGGGCAGAGAGGGACAGAAACCAGGGATGCTGTCCCAGAGCACCCTCTTGCCGTCAGAGGGAGCCGGAGCCACACCAGCACTTCCTTGGTGTCACAGCCAGGGCAGCAGCAGCCCCCAGTCTGGGTCTCCAGGAGGATGGGACCCCAGGCTGGTGCCATAGCTACAAGCCCTGAGCTGGGGAATGGCAGTGCCAGGCTCTGCAGCTGAGCCCAGCTCCTCCTCCCCTTTATGTCAGGGCAAATTCCCAAACCTCTTTTTGGGTCCTCCTGGAGTGCCATCTCCTTCCTTCCTCCCTGTGCCCACTGGGCAAGGCCAGCCTGCACAGATGGACTATGGATGGATTTCGGTCCCCCAGGAGCTGCAGGAGGGCTGAGCCAGGTCTGAACAGCTTGGTGATGGGCTGAGATTACGCAGCCACAGAGCTTTCTCCTTGCCCAGGTTCCCATGGAAATGATCCTGGGCTCACAGCAAATATCCCCAGCCCTGGCACGGCTGCTGCACAGGGCTGGATGTCAGTGTGAGGGGGTCTTACACGTGGTGGGACCAGGGGCTGTGTATCACTGCTGCTGAGGCCACGAGCCAGTGGCCAGCTCAAGGGGGGGCTCTCAAGGCATCTCGTGCTCTGCACCCCAAATCATTGCTGGGAGCACTCCAGTTACACAGCAGAACAGGGAAGGGGCACAAAGGAGGGCTGCTCCGAAGATGGGGACAGGGAGCAGGACTCACTCCACATTCTTGAGGGAGACCTTCTGGCTGGGGCGGGTGGCTGAGACAGTGATGTAGATGTGGAGGGCAGCCAGCCCCAGCAGCATCTCTGGCTTGGGGTCTGTGCCGAAGCGCTCTCTGATCACATCGTTGCGGCTCTGCGGGAGGGAGGAGAGGTGTCCTCAGATAAACACAGGGACAGGCATCCCCCACCTGAGAGATGCCTCCACAGGCCCAGCCTCGGCAGATGTGTGGGCCATGAGCACCAGCAGCTCCCAGTCCCCTACCTGGATGTACAGGTACTCGAATGCTGCAGGATCCCGGCGCAGCAGTTCCACTGGGTCCTTGGGGAAGAAGCTCACACGGAAGAGGCATCTCATGCCATGGTAGTGTGTCCTCTGCACAACCTGTGACAGGAGCAGAGGGGAGCAGTGAGACCAGGAACTGTATATTTGCCTGCAGGGCAGGAGACCCCCTGTCCTCTCTTTTGGGATGATACTCGATTTCTCTCCTCCATGCATCACCTCATCCTTTCATCCTGGGAACAGCCCAGCCTTCCTTGGTGTGACAGCTTTGCCTGGTGCTGCAGGGGTTTATGCCACACAAGCTAACACTACCTCCATGATCCCCATTTTATCCCTGGTCCTGTGCAGTGCCAGCTTCCTGGCTCTCCTGGGCAGGTCAAGGATGTTCATAAATGCTGTCTGTAGCTCCCCTGGCTGGAACCTAGAGCATCTCCATGGTGCTGTCAGTGTGGGATGGGTAAAACCCTGCTTGTCTCCCTCTCTGGACACCCTCTTCACCCCTGAGCGTACAGGACCATGCCAGAGGCAAGGAGAGGCTACGCTACTGCATGGCACAACCCCAGCCAAGCCCCACACTGGGGGCAGAAGAGCCTCTCTGTGCCCCAGCCCCTGCCCAGGGCCATCCCAACACCCTCCCACACCCAGCATCTTACATGGGCCAGTGGCTGCTTGTCCTGGAGCAGCAGGAAGCGGTGGCTCTGCTCCGGGCTGGAATACTCCAGGACCAGGGCAAAGTGCTCGATGTGCCTCAGCGACAGGCGGTCCTGCAATGTCACCATCACGTCCTGCAAACACCACGGACATCCTTGGCTGCGAGGCACTGGATGCTTCCCAGGGTGGGAACTGGCACCCCAGTGAGAGCTCAGCCCCTCCCTGGCAGCTCGGGCCATGCTGGTGAAGGATGAGGCCCGGTAGAGCTGAGAGGGGCTGTGGGGTGGGACCCAGCCACTGCTGCTCCAAGTGACCTTGCAGCAGGAGGTGACCAGCGGCCAGATCCCCAGCACCCCGGGTAACACCGTGGTGGTGCTCAAGGGATCTGCAGGGAGCTGGCAGGGGGACTCACAGGAGCATCCACCCTGGCTGGAGAGCAGGCTCACGGCAAGGAGGAAAGTCAGGAGAGGGAGAAGGAGAGCAAAATCCCATCCCTGCCAGCTGCAGAGCGTGTCGCCCGGGGAGGCAGACGGGCTATCCATCATGCCAGAGCAGCTCCCAGCCAGCCAAGCGCTGCTGCGGCGGTGTTTGTGAGCGGAAGCAGGAGATGAGGAAAAATGGAATTGGGCAGGTGGGAGGAGAGAAGTGTCATGGTGCCGCGGGGGGAGGCAGAGGGGCTCACCTTCACAGTGGTCCGGCCGTCGAAGGTGAAGGATTTGATCTGCCCATTCTCCAGGAAAACCTTCAGCACATTGGGAATGAGGAGGAGAGCTTCTTTCTTCAACATGTCCTGGCATGTGGGGCCGGCAAAGGGGGAGGCGAGGAGGGTGGGGGGGCACAGAGAGACAGAGGGAAGACAGGGAGAGAGAATGAGTGTCAGTGATGGAGTGCTCGTGGCATCCTCCACTGCTCTGCACTTTTGCACTAAGAGGCACATTTCCCCTGGAAACCCAGCACTCTGCTGAGCTATTGAGAAGCGCAGAGCTGAAGCAATTTGGAGCTGCCTGACAGATTTACCCCGCCAGCTCCCAGCAGCTGCACTGGGAACAGAGCATCCCGCTCTGTCCAGCACATCCCAGTGCCCATGCCTGGCAGCCTGTCCCACTCCCCAGCTGGTGTCCCAGAGGGGAGGCGATGGCCAGGGTGGTTTAGAGCCTATTCCCTTCTCCTGACCCTTATCCCAAGCCTAGCCCCCCTCAACCCAGCCCATCCCCTCTGCAGGAAGCTGGGGGAAGGCTGATTTTATTTAGTGAGAAGTGTTTCAATCAGATAATTACCTAATTGATTTTGCTTTAAAAATAGAATTTGCTAGAAGCACTTTACAGGGTTTTTTCTTTTTTCAGTTTTATTTTGGGGCTATTTTTTTTGTATGCTCAGTAATAAAACCTTTCTGATGAAGAGATAAAGGCACTGGGCTGGAACACTGCAGCCTCCATGGCCATGCAGCAATGCCCTTGTGACCCAGCCCCACACATGGGTACTCCTGTGAACCCTCTGGCATCGGGCTGGAAGCCACAAACCTTCCTTAGGGCAGGCACTGGCACTGCCTGGATGCCTCCCTTGGGTGCCCAGGGGGACTCAGACAGGAACCAGGTTTCTAAGGCCAAGTTTTGGGGCTCTGTCCCACAGAGGGATAGGGTATGTCCCCCCAGCACTGACCCAACATGCTGATTGTGCCCAAGGGCATCTGCCCTCTGGGGCTCCCCAGGCCAGATGGCAGAGCCCAGACTGGGAGAGGAGCCCTGTGCCCCCAGACACCTCACACCCCACGGCCCCGGGGACACCTCAAGGGGGTGGTGACACACAGAGGAAGGCAGGGCAGGACTTACTGGGTCTGTCTCGCCGACTGTCACCTGCTCTGAAAATCGGACTTTCACGGGGTTGGACCTTAGCTTCGCCTTCTTGGCTGCGCTGATGAAAGCAGATTTGGGAGACTGGAAAGAGAGCACTGGGTAAATCACCTGCCTGCCCTCGGAGCTGTGCCACGTCTGCCTGCCTTTGGAGCCGTGGTGTGGGGAAAAACCAGACACACAGCCCAGAGGAAGCCCCTCTGAAGCCAGCATGATGATGGGGAGTGGGCAGCAACCCATGAAATGGGGAGTGGAAAGCAAGTTCCCTTCGTTGTGGTTTTACGGTGCTGCAGGAAGGGCCAGAATGATGAGCAGCAGCCCCTGAAGTCACACCCAGCAGCCTCAGCATGACAGGGGGAGGATGGAGGCTGCACCCCCAGTGAGCTCACGTGTCCAGCACCCCTTGTGCAGGCCGAACTCTGGAGGACACCAGCCAGGTCTTGCTTGGAAGCACCAGCGCTGGTTCAGATCAGAGAGACAAGCCCTTTGGATGTGGGTCTGCAGCCACAGGGAGATGGGAAAAGGTAGGACCCTGGGCATCCATGCAGGACATTCCGGTGGCAGCGCTGGGGAGCCTGTGCCTGTACATGCTCTGGCATGGAGACTCATGCCACAGAGCTGGGCATGCCTGATGGTGCCAGTATCAGCTGAACAGCCTGTCCTGGCAGGTGGCCATCCAGGGCCAGGAGGAAAAGAGCTTTTTTGGAGCCTGGCACACATCCCCACTCCCAACGAAGCCGTGCTGGGTGGTGGCATCTTCCTGGCGAGGAGGGGAGCACAGGGGAGCTCTGCACTCATCTCCTTCCCCGACACCAAAGGGCTCAGTGAAGCAGAAATGGTGCCCTGCCACCACTGCCACTGGCAGTGGCAGGATGGTCCTGTCTGCTCCAGCACCACGGGTGCTGAGCCCCGATGCACCATCACCACTGGTGCCAGCACCACCACCAGCCACACTGCAGTCTGGCACTCCCAGCTCCCAGGGGACGACCCCTCCCTGCCACCTCTGGCATGATGATGGGTCACTTCATCAGAAACATGGGATGTCCTCTGCAAACCGCATGGGTTTGGGTGTAGTTTTCCTCCCTCCCTCTTGCGAGGAGGCAGTGACAAGGACAGGGAGATGGCTGCACACCCACACTGACCCCAAGGGGCTGTGGCAGCTCTCAGACCCCACAGCTTGGAAGAGCCTTGGGGTGGTGGGACACTGGTCCAACAAGTCAGTTGAGCTGCCTGAGTGGTTTCCTGGGGTCTCTGGGGACCCCACCTCAGTCTCCAAAAGGGCTTTTAACCCCTGTCCTGGCTCCCCTGGAGCTGGCCATGGCCTCGCCACTCTCACCTGGTGGGTGTGCAGGACCGTGAGGATGATGAAGTCCTTGGCCTTCCTGTGACAGAAAGGAGAAATGAAGGTGGATGGGACCTTATGGTGATGACCTCAACATGTACATTGGGCTATTGAGAGCACATCCCATCCTTCCCAGCCCAATGGCAGCCAGGACCTCTGTGGGCTCCTTGGTAATACGGCTGTGGATGCTTTCCCAGTGCTGCTCCCACTCCTTGGCCAGCTGGGAACAGGTATGGCATTTGCTCCAAGGCACTCCCCCTGCTCAGGCTGAGGCTTCCCCACCCAAGCAGTGACCATCAGTGACACTGGTGTGCATCAACACCCCAAGGCTTTGGTAGGGGCACAGCAGACTGGCATAAGCCCCCTCCCCAGAGGTGATGAGGGACAAGTGTTGTCCTCACCTGACAAGCTCGATGAATCTCTCTCTGGGGGCTTCACTCACATCCTCATCGTTGATGGCCAAGATCTGGTCTCCTGGCAGGAGTTTATCCTCAGAGGGGCCGCCTGCCAGGAGAGAGGGTCAGGGCCAATCCAGGCATCCCGGAGCTGCGGGGTGGAGGGGAAGCAGGAGGGTCCCAAGCATCCCCAAAGCGTTTGCCCGTGTATATGGCTGCGGAGCACACCCTGCAGGCCCACAGGAGGGGACAGGAGCGCAGGGAGGGGTCCCGCCGGGGAAAGGTGCCGCTGTGCTTCCCGGCACACCACAGCCGTGTCTGAGGATCGCCCCCAGCCCCTCCGTACCTGCTGCCACCGACCGCACCACCACCGGCCTCTCGCTGCCAGCCACAAAGCCGAATCCGTAGAGGGGGTGGCGCTGGACCGTCACCTGTCGGAGCGTGTCCGAAGGCAGCTGCCCACATTCCATATCATCGCCACCGCGCTCCTCCGGCATCACATGGCTGCGCTGTGGAGCAGAGGGACAGGCTGTAACGCGCCCCACCACGGCAGCCCTCCCCGCTCCCACCGAGCCCCCTGCCACCTGCAGAGCAGCCCCACTCCACCTGCACCCTGCACCCTGCCAGCACTGCCAGTCCCAGCAGCTTCCTGGGACATCCGCAGCCCCCTCCCTCCCGTGCAGAGTGGCACTGCTCAGTGCCCGTCCTTGCCACAGCGCCAGCAGCTCAGACACGGGGACATTCGTGGAGATGTCCTCCAGGGGTTAATCATACCATCTACTCCCAGCATCTCACTGTCTAATCTCTACTTCAGCATTTCACTTCATTAAATGGAAGACCTGTGTGGGATAAACTACTGGTGGTGTGGCTCTGGACGTTCCCTGAGGGATGGCACTGCTGTGGGGTTCAGAGGAGACAGTGGCCCTGGCACAACAAGAGGGCTGTCTCTGCCGCTCTGCAGAGGTTTAAGAGCAAACTCAAGTGTTGGCTTTTTCATGCTGTGTAACACGGCTGTACAATATTAGAGATAAGTGGAAACAAGTTCAGCCAGTCTAAAAACTGGGATTAAGGCGGGCTCAGCCATGGCACTTCAACCGAGTCTCCACTGCCAGCCCAGGGACTCCTTGAAGCACTGACAACGAGATGGGAACACCCATCCCGGAGCGAGGTCATGTCAAAGCTGCCCTTGGCATCCCAGAGCAATGCCAGCCGTGGCTCCAGGCTGCTCAGCAGGGCTGTGAGCCTGCGATGAGGGAGCAATCCCAGCACCATCAGGATGGCCACGGAGCACAGCACAGATGGCAACAGGCACAGCCACAGCCAGGAAAACAAAGCGATGAACGCGCTGCTGTTCCTGTGCTGCTCATTGCCTGCGCCTGTCCAGACCATTTAGTCTATTTAAAAAAGATCCTTCCCGGCCTTTTGACGACACTCCAGTTGTTTCATCTCTTATCAGTTTAGAATTTGATGCATCATCCATCTCATGCTATCTGTCTGCATTTCTGACCCCCCCCACCCGCTCCCAGCGCCGTTACATCCGCTGCAGAGCCAAGGGGGACGGCACGTGGGGCTGGAAGGGGACGGGAGCTTCTGGCAGCTCCACGCCAGCACACGCAGCTCTGGGCTTGGGCACATCACTGCCAGCAAAGACAGCCCTGTGCCGAGCCTGATCCCCAGCTGACTGTCTTAGTTTAACAAGATTACAACTTGGAAATTAAGAAGAAACAAATGGGGGGGGGAGTGGGGCGACACTGGGAAAAAATTCCAACATCTTTTTTCAAACCTATGACAGTGACCTACTCAAAATCCTGTAAGAGAGCAGAGCCTGGCTCTGGCCCTGCTACAACATGTCCCACAGGATCCAAGGAGAGCTCTGAGCACCAGGTGCCTCTGCCCAGTGTCAGGGATACAGCGCTGGCCCTGGGTGAGCTGTGCTCTGTGGTGATGGGGTGTCACCACAGCCAGGTCCACTGTAACCCATTCCCAGGGCCCAGCTGGACAGGTACCCGTGACTTTCCCCTCCCTCATGCAGCTCCATGGTTGGTAAAGCAAAACAATGAGACCTGGGGAGGGGAACTGCTAAGGAGAAGAAGGGTGCGGGCATCTCCTGGGGCAGGGGACCCATCAGCAGCCCCAGCAGGAGCAGAACCAGCTCCATCACCAGGGAAGTGCAGCTGTGGGGAAGCACAGACGAGACCCTCTCCCCTGTGACCATCTCTGTGCTGCCTCATTAGCTGCTCTGCTACTCCCATGAGCATTGAAAAGAACAACAGTAACAACAACAACAAAAATCACCTTATTCAACCAATTTTCTCGAACAAACATTATCTAAAGCCATTGTATGCAGCTGAAAAGGGGACTGAATGTAGCACTGCATCTCCACAAGCCTGGTGTGGCCGACAGGAACACCTGGAATGTGAAGGGATGGAGCTGGCTGCCACTAGGCAGCAGTCCCTGAGTGCTGGTTTCCCGGGGGACACTCCTGCTTTCATCCCCCCTGCACTGCCCACAGCAATTCCAGCCTCCACATCCACAAGCCCCTGCAGCACATGGACAGGAGGATGAACAGCGGGGCTAAAAGCACTGAGATGACTCAGAGGTGTGGCTGAGCTCAGTGCGACTGCTCTGGGGAAACAGAGGCAGGGGTTTGCTCACCAGGTCACAGCAAAGTGGATGACAAGTCCCAGACCAGAACTGCCCAGTCAGACCCGCTGCGTCCCGAGATCTGTCCTTTTGTGTGCAGTCTGGGGGTCGGCCTCACCCTCACTCCTCCCCACGGAACCCGCAGCCCAGCCACCGATGACCGCCCAGGGAGCAGGGGCAGCAGCCTCTCAGGCAGCCCAATTACCATCAGAAAAGGTTAGCCAGGAAACCTTTGCAGCTTAAACAGACAAAAGGAAAAGAAAGCACACCTCATTTCAGCCACAACCAGTCTGCCATCCACCGTCAAAGGGAAGAGGGGAATAAAGAGATGGATACTGACAATAAAAACTCCTTTACCAGGCTCTTAAGCTGCTCCTCTCCTGATAAGACTTTGACGCTGCAGAAGCATTACCAGGAAATTAAATAAAAGAGGACGAGTGTCCTCGTAAGCAGGACTTATCCACTCCTGGAGAAGCAGTAATGTGCTCAGCAGCAGGTACAACATGCCTTCTCCAGGCTGTGGCTCTGAACTTCCTTCCTGCAGCAGCTCTCCCACGCTGGGCATGGGGCACAACGTGAGCTCACCCTGGACCAGAGCAAGAGGTCAGAGAAAACCAGCAGCAGCAGCAGGTAACTCTCTCCCTAACGCTGCTAACTGGCAGCACCCCAGGACCACAGGAGCCATCCCTTTCCTGAAGTCTGTTTTTTGTGCTTCCTCGTTTAATCCCCAGGCAGAGAAGTGCACTGGGCTGCAAATCCCTCAGCCTGGCTCTCACAGCAGGGAGCGGGGCTATAAAACAAGCCCCGGAGTTCAGCAGCTCTGATGCACCAGCACCACCCAGACCCAGCCTCATCCTGGGCTCAGTGCCTGGGGATCGGGGCCACCCTGTTTGGGAAATACCTGCCACCTCCTCGGTGGGCACAGACCAGCACTGCCCCTATCCCACTGCAGGGAGCAGAGGGCTGTTCACGTCCATTCCCCCACCCTGACTGTGTCCTTGCCTGCTTGCTGCCCACCCTTAGCCCAAGAGGCTGCACTGCAGCCTTGCACAATGCCACCAAGGCACAAAGTCACTGGAAAACAGCACAAAGTAAAAGGACTCTCCAGGAGAAAGCCCCCTGTGCCTGTCAGCAGCAGGAGCCCACCACAGTCATGCCCCTGTGGGAGGATGTCTGCCCCTGGCTCTTCATGGTGTCTCGACTGACATGGCATGAAGATATCCCTCTCCTGAGGCTTGGGCACTCATCTTCTGTACTCAGAGCTCAGACACTGATCTGGTCACCCTCTACCATGCAAGGTAAGAGAAACATCAGCTCTATCCAGTCACTCCCCATCATTATACACCACCAAGGGATGTGCCTTCAGCTTCCTGAGCACCTTCAGACCTCCATGCCACAGAGCAGGGCTGAACCAGGAGTCCTCATCCCCCTCAGACAGAAAAAGGCAGAGCGGGAGTCACTCCAAAAGCTGACATGCTCATTTTTAATTTCCTACTGCAATAAATTTCTGCTTCCTCTGAGAACTGGTTTTCTCTCTTTGCTTTTAGTGCTGACTGGCCATCTGCCACCAAAACAAACCAGTACCACCTGCCCATGAGGAATGATGGTCTCCATCTACCCAGACATTTCCAACTGCCTTCAACCAGGATGGCACCAGGTGAAAACATTCTCTGCAGCTGAAAAAGGGCTTGGGGCTGAGCTCCAGGATGGGGACTGGATATGGAATGTCTTGCTCCTTCTGCAGAGGGGCAGTTTGCAGGGGTGAGTGCCAGCTCTCCTCCCCCTTCCTCTGCTGCCGTGAACAACCCAAGAACAAACAGAGCCTGTGGATTCCTGTCTCTCCTGCTGCACGACCATGCCCGGCTCCTCCATCTGCCAGGCTGCAGTTGGTGAACGGCTTGCGAGGCATGTGGGATCTGGAGCACGTGTGGCAGCGGCAGGAAATGCTGGGGAATGGGCCAAGAAGTGTTTTTATGTGGAACATATGGCAGCTCCAGCCTCGTACCCTGGTCTCCATCTCAGATGGAGCCCGTGGGGCTGCCGGGGCGCGTGGGGTCCAACAGCAGGGGCAAAAGCAGAGTGGGCAAAGCTGGCTGGCACAGGACCTACCCAACATGCATCCCTGCTCCATCAGCCCTGTATCTGCTCCCAGCAAGCATCTGGTCACCTTGGAAGATGCCATTTGGCCCACGTTAACGTGTCAGACATTCCCAGCAAGGGCAAACAGATGCTGTACTTCCCGAGCACTGCGAAGCTGCTTGGACGCGCAGCGCACACAGAGCTTGGCGGCCTGGTAATGGCTGCCCCTGCTCTGGCAGTGTTTAACAGCTGACTGGAGCGAGGAGGGCTGGGCTGAGGGGTGCCAGCCTGGCTCAGACCAACATTAAAGGCAGAAGAATGACTCAGGCCTTCACAGTTGAAGTCCTTCATGGCCCCAGCCTGAAGAACTGCAGCCCGCGTACAAGCTCTGCCATATGGCCCACGACCCTTCTCCCTGTGCTCCAGCTTGGATTTGCTGTCAATATTGGGAATCAATTTAAAAATCAGCAGAGCTGCTCAAAAGGATTAGCTTTACCACTGGTGCTGGCTCTGTCCAGCTGGAAGGTGAGCCAGGTACGCTGCTAGTACAAAGGTGGGGTGCCAGATGGCACCCCTCCGAGGGCACAAACACTCCTGGCCCTCAGTGCAGGGACAAGCAGACGGTGACCAGTGTCCCCCTGGAGAAGCTCGTGAGTGGCCAAAGGCAGCTGTAAATAAGGAAGCAGCAGCCGCAGCCTGGCTCTGGGCAGCAGCTGCAGCTCTGCCACTCAGCCTGCAGCCTTTTAAAGGGTCCTGGCACTTCAGCCTGGCAGAGCGGCCAGGAGGA